TGACCTGTCCGTCCTCCCTGGACTGACCTATCCCCTTCCTAACTCCCTACCTACACTCACCTTTACTGGCTCCATCCCCGCCTCTTCGACCTGTTTGTTTCCTCTCCACCTATCCTCTCCTCTATCCCTCTTCTATCCGCCTCCCACTCTCTCCCTATTTATTTCAGAACCCCCTTCCCCTCCCCCTTTTCTGATGAAGGGTCTAGGCCCGAAACGTCAGCCTCTCTGCTCCTAGGATGCTGCTTGGCCTGCTGTGTTCATCCAGCCCTGCACTTGTTGTCTCGGATTCTCTAGCATCTGCAGTTCCTACTATCTCTACTATCAATAATAATCTCGTTTGCCTACCCCTTTCATATCTCTCTCTCTCTCCCCCTGAGCTCCATCGCCATCTATCTGCTCACCTCTAGCCCCACACCGAACCTCGTCTTCAGTATAAATACCACTTCTTCCTCACTGCTATCAATTCTGAAGAGTCAGTGGACTCGAAACATTAACTCTGCTTTCTCTTCACAAATGTTACCAGACCCGCTAGGTTTTGCCTGCAATTTCTGTTGTTGTTATTTCAAATCTCCAGCATCTGCAGTTCTTTTTATGTACAAGTTACTTGCTGTGTTGTTCTACATTTCAGTGACTACACTTGCAAAGTATTTAGTTGTCTGTAAAACACTTCATGATATTCCAAGGCCTAAAAAGGTGCTGTATTAATGTAGCTCATTCTTGTTTAAACATTTTTATTTTAAATTACAACAGAAATCTTTTTATCCCCTCATTAAGATACATCTGAAATTTAGGAAAATCACAAAGGGATATGCGGGATTAATGCTTTCAACATAAATGAATGAAGTGACTTCTCAAAGCATGTACAGAGTTTCTGCTGAAAAAAAAAAATTGGCACCCTTACTGAAGAACTCAAGCCTGTGAAACAGGATGCTCTTGATCTTTCTTCATTAAGCGAAGCATCTATTTCATCCAGTGAATTTGGAAGACTTTGAAATGCCTACAACAGACAGAAGGTAGTCACACTTACAGATCATAGAAAACTGAAATGGCTCACTCTAACTTCAAAGCAAGTTAAACATAAACACCAATGTTCAATAATAGATTAAGCAATCAGTTACAATGATGTTTTGATCAGTTTATTTGCAAGACAACATTCTTTGATAACAGCCTTTATCCTCAACTACATACATGAAAAGCAATGGGGTTAGATATTAATTGCGGCCACCCTGTGTTATAGTGGAAAGCAACAGGGAAATGACCAATAATTTAATTTATTGCGTAATGTGGCAACCACCATCATCAAAGGAGGTACAAAGGCCTTCCAATGCTCTATCCTATCCCATCCCTACTCCTTCAGACAGCACAGTCACTGCTGTGTATTCAACAGTAAATATGACCATGCGTCACAAGATCCAACAATTTCCATTGCATTTGTACAACAATGATTACTTTCAAGAAAAATTTATGTCGATAATTCATAGTTGCATTCCAGTTCCTTTACTTGCATTGACGGTGATTTATCCTGATACACGATTCCAATATCCCAGAATAATATTTTTCTAAAACATTAGTATGAGCACAACTGCAATTTAAAATGTCAAAAGTCACACAAAAACCAGGTTATAGTTCAACAGGTTTATCTGAAATCACAAGCTTTTGGAGCACTGCTCCTTCGTCAGGTGAAGTCACTGAAAGCTTGTAATTTCAAATAAACTTGTTGGACTTCAATCTGATTTCATGTGACTTCTGACCTTGTCCACCCCAGTTCAACACTGGCATCTCCACATTAAAATTTATAGTCTCCACCCACAGTTTCAATATTAAGGCAACAACTGTACGAATTTTTGAAATAAATGACTATTTTTAATTGTTTTTTCCCTGCAGTTGCACTTTTGCAATCATGGGAATTACTACATCTTTATCAACAGAATAATTAAAGATAATTACTGCTTTAATTATTCACACTTGATGAATTGAATACTCTGGAAGCCAGCGGACTTGAAACTCATTTAGTTTGGCATGGGGTTAAGCCATTCTCCCATTAGTGGGAGCAATCATTTGTACTTTATGTTCATCTATATTTGAGCCTGCAATTCATAGGAGATCACAGAATCCCTACTGTGTGGAAACAGGCCCTTCAGCCCAACAAGTCCACGTCAACCTTCAAAGCATCCCACCCAGACCCATCGCCCTACACCCCACCTAATCTACACATCCCAAAACACTACGGGCAATTTAACATGGCCAATCCACCTAGCCTGCACATCTTTGGACTGTGGGAGGAAACCGGAGCACCTGGAGGAAACGCATGCAGACATGGAGAGAATGTGCAAACTCCACAGACAGTCGTCCAAGGTTGGAATTGAACCCATGTCCTTGGCGCTGTGAGGCAGCAGTGCTAACCACTGAGCCACCATGCCGCCCCAAATTCTTGAACTCCCATTAACAAACATATATCACATAACATATTATGACAGGCCTACAAATACTTCAAGCAAATAAATGCCACAGCCACAATTTTCTTGTGTAATATCTTTTCTATAGTTCAGCATTTCAACTTTCCTTACTGTCATCAGCTCTGAAGGGATGTCACTTTCATTAGGATCCAAGTCACAGGCCTCTCTGGCTGCTTTCATGCGCTCTTTACACATATTTAGAAGTCGTCGCTTTTTCTCATCCAACTCTGCATATTGTTGCTGCGATTCATAAAGATTTTATCAGAGATTAAAACTGCCATTTATAAAGTTAATATGCAGCAATTATCCAGTCAAAGAATTCTCCATGGTTCTCTCAGTTTTAGATCACATTTGCCAATAAATGCCAGAGACGACACAAGAATCTGCATGATCCATTCACTAGTGTGCCCTTTAAATCAAATACTTTCTCACACACAAATCACACTTTTTTAAATAGGCAACATCATGATTTCAGCCTTCTTCCCCCATTAATTCCCAGCACTATATTTTTACCTAAAAATGCAACTGGGTTTGCTACTTAACGTTACTATAAGGGAATATAAAATTTAAAAGTCTTGGAGTACAGCTATATATACACTGAGAGGCATGTGAATCTCAAATTAAGCTTAAATGATTGGCATAAAAGTTTTTGTACACACTAGTTTTACCAACTGTATTTTTGCAAGCTATACTTAAATTAACAATAATCTATATAATACCATACACAGCTCATGCAGTGTGAACAAGTTAAACCCTAATAAATTAATTTAGGTTCCTTCCACTATCCTCGAAGCCACATCTGAAATACTAAGTATTTTGTCAGGCATTTTTGCCTGAAAGGAAGATTCATGAATAGGAATGGGGTCAAACAGCAAGTGAATAAATTCTTGGTTATGACACTTGAAATACTGAACTTATTTTTATTTAGGGAAAAACTGAGAGGACACAAGAGGCTCAAATGGCACATACTGACCAGTTGAGCCAAATGGCCTGCTTTCATGCCGTAATTTTATACAACAGAATTCAAAATGGTACCTCTTTCATTTTTTGTTCTGCAGCTGATTCTTTATATTCTGTTTCCAGCCGATTCTTCTGATATGTCAATGACGTGTTTTCAAGAACAAAGCCAACTTTCTCCATGTTCAGTGAGAGGCAGGTCTGGAAAGAAAATGCTGCAACTTTAATATCGGAAACACTATAACTTCTCTATTCTTGCCCTGTTTAAAATTCCCACCAACCTTGCAGAGGTGAGAACAACTTGACAAAATAAACAAATTCTCAACGGATGTTTTGAAATTCCACAGCACACGATAAATTGTGAAGAGGGGGACATAATTTCAGCACTAATGTGATATGTTAGCTGTGAAGGTGTAGCCATGGCTCTTGGATAATTACGGTGCATGGACAACTTGTGCAATGGTTATTCAGCTAGTAAAGTGACTTAGATTGGAGGAGAGGGAGTAAACTTTAAAATAAGAACATAAAAAAATCCAAGTGTTAATAAAGTATATAGGAAAACAGGGCTTTATAAAGACAGGCACAGATTACAAGAGACAGAAAATTACGTTAAACCTTTATAAAATGCTTTTTATTCATTCATGGGATGTGGACATTGCTGGGAAGGCTAGCATTTATTGCCTATTCTTAACGAGCTACATAGGGGTGACATGTGCCATTTTGAAATACTACACTCCTGGATGGTGTTGAGGTTCTCAAGTACTCTTGCAGCTATAATAGGCAAATGATAAATATTCCACAAAGCTCCTCTCCTGCATCTTATAGATTGCAGGCAGGCTTTGGAGAGTCATGGCCCTTTCTTGTTGCCACAGTAGTATGTGAAAGTTCTGGTCAATGGTAACCTCCAGGATATGAATAATGGGGGATTCAATAATGGCAATTCCTTTGAATATCAAGGACAGCTGATTACACGCTATCTAGAATTTTAGACTTGTGTATGCATAATTATGAGCACCACCTTGTAGAAAGGATGAGAAGACATTGGAGGGGGGACAGATAAGATTTACCTGAATGATTGCAGGGATGAGGACCAACAGTTATGAGGATAGACTGGAGAAGATGGGGCTGTCTTCCTCAGAACAGAGGGAATAAAAGGAGATTTGATAGTGGTGTTTACAAACATTAACAGTTTAGACAAAGCACATGATCAGGTCCTAATTCCAATGGCTGAAGGGTCAAAATTCAGAGGGATACAAATTTAAGGAGACTGACAAACAACCAAAAGAAGCCAAGGAGGAAAACTTCCTTTTTAAAGAATTGAGCATTGTAGTTTGGAATGTACTGCCCAAAAAGGATGGTGGAAACAGGTTCAATATTAACTTACAAAAGGAAACTGGATAAATATTTAAGAAAACAACTGTAGGGATGTAAGGATAGAGCAGAGGAGTAGATTATACTTTGAAAGTGCCAGCACAGCCTCAAAGGGCTGAGTGAATTGGAAAATGCAGATGTACAATACAACAGGAGTATCCTTGTCAATAAGCCACTGAAAACCTATATGCAGGTGCAGCAAACTACTAGGAAGGCTAATGTAATATTAGTCTTTACTGACCTTCTGTCCAAGAAAAGGAGAACTTTATTTACTCAGGAGGTTGTGAACATCTGGAATTCTCTGCCACAGACAGCTGTATAAGCCTAGTCTTTTGAGTATGTTTAAAGTAGAAATTGATAGATTTTTTGATTACCAATGACATATGGAGTTATTGGAATGGGGTGGGTCAAAGGCATTGAAGTGTTCAATCAGCCACGATCATGAGGAATAGTAGGTCAGGTTCGACAGGCTGAATGGCCTAGTACTGTTCCTATGTTCTGAATTGGTCTCTTTCTGAGCTATACAGTTGGTTAGCCTTATAAATTTACTTCTCAATTATTTCAACTGAATAACCAACTTGAATTGACACACATTATCTCAACACGTGAATGCATGCTCTTATCACTCCTACTTGTCCTTGAACTCTCAGATTTGAAGGAACTGCAAAGAACCATTCAACTTATCCAGAACACCTTAAAGTAGAAGTTGATCAAGAGGTTTAGGGGGCAAGTTAGTATTTTAGGCAACTAAAATATTATTGGGGAGGCAATGGCCTAGTGGTATTATTGCTGGACTGTTAATCCAGAGATCCAAATAATGTTCTAAGGAACCGGGTTCAAATCCCACCATGGCAGGTGGAGGAAACTGAATTGAAAAAAAAAAGAAATCTGGAATTAAGAGTCTAATGATGACCGTGAATCCATTGCCAATTGTTAGAAAAACCGATCTGGTTCACTAATGTCGTTTAGGGAAGGAAACTGCCATCCTTACCCGGTCTAGCCTACATGTGACTCTAGACCCACAGCAATGTGGTTGAATCTTAACTGCCCTAGCCAGCAATGCCCTCATCTCGTGAACGAATAAAGAAAAAAAACGTTGGAGTGCTGAAAATGACAAATGTACAAGAGGCTAAAACTGAAGGACAGAGATCTCAGGTTTTTGGCCTAGAGATTATAGAAATATGGAGGGATGAGGAGGGCATAGAGTGATTAGAAAACAATAAAGAGAACTTTAAAATTGAGGCAGAGCACTTATACATGTGTACCCCAAGCTAACGTGCACAAAAACATGCTTCTGCATACACAGAGTTCCTTTAGAATTTTGAATAATTTTTCATTTAAGCAATACAGATATGCATTTTGCTTATGAAGCTGAATATTTTTACAAGATGGTTATTTTGTTACTTCCAGAAAGAAGAGAATTTCACTAAAAGACATTTCCAGCTTATTTTGCGAAAGGGAACTTATTCAAATAAATTTAGGAGCTCTGGAGTCAACAGATTTTTATGGAAATACTGAATGACAGAAATTTTTCTAAGACTCACCCTAATAAGCTGTGTTAATTCAGAGACTAGTTTGGCCTTTTGATTATGGATCGCCTTCATTTTTGCATTTGCTTTTCGTTCTTCCTCTTCAATGTTGATAGTATCCATCTCCATCTGCTTCAGACTGAGAACAAGTTGTTAAATGAGGGGAGTACAGTAACTCCTGTTAACAGTCATTCCAACGCCTATCTTCAAATGAAGAGCACCCTCATCTAAGCAAAATATTTTGTTTTCACTGTTACTGCATAATTATAGAATAGTCATGCACTATGCAGAGATGACTAAAATAACAACTATAAGCCACTGTGATTCAAGTTTTCAACCAGCAGTGTCCTATCCCATTGGCTTTCATAGTTAATCTCCTTCAGGTTCATCTTCAACAAGTTATTGAAAAATTAAAAGTCTATGCAGAAGTATTAAACACAGTTAAGAGTATCTTTCAATTCATACATCATCGTTGCCTCAGTTGTATCTATTATCTGAAGGTGTAACCAGACCATCCAAAACGACAGTGGAAACAAGCCTGGCCATCTAGCCTAACCTTGTAAGACAATCCAGTTCTTCAGGTATTAATTTACCGAACCTCCTTTGAACCACCTCACAACACATTTACTAGTTTCTTAAATATAGAGGTCAAACAACATTTAAGATGTGGTCTCACCAATTTCCTGCATAAATGAACTTGGGTAACTTACAACAGTGAACGGTTTTCTTTAAATATTTCAAACAGTGTACAATCCTTTCCTTCTTTGTATAAGATGTGAATCGACATCATTAATATCTTGAGTACACAGGGATTAGTGGGTGGATATAGGTTATGCAAATCTTCTGCAAATAGTATAACGCATAGCCCATACCTATCATTTTTTGTGCTGATCTTTTGTTCTATTTGTCTTCGCCTGCTCTTCATCTCCAAAAGTTCTTTCTTCTTTGTTCTCAGTTCATTATCCTTGCGCTCAAGAAGTCTCTGTTTCTCAGAAAACTCAGCAATGCGTGATTCTACTGCATTCAAATTGGAGGTTACTTCCTGTGAATGGAACAGAAGAGTGATTCATTACACTTATCTAAGTAACAACCTTTGATTCCTCATTCTTTGACCGTATTCAACCTTCCCATTCAAATATCCAACTGGAGGAAAAACAATGACTGTACCATTAGAGTGCAACTTCTTTGCAGTTACTCTCAGCACATAATTGGTTGACAAAATACAAGGTCTTCAGCAAAATTATATTCAAGATGAAGGATGAGGAAAGGTTTTAAGTGATCACACGTGCCAGGTCAATAAATAAAACATAGTGCTGGAGAAACTCAGCGGGTCTGGCAGTATGTGTGGAGAGATAAACAGAGTTAATGTTTCAAGTATGATATGACACTTTTTCAGTTCTGAAGTCACATCAGTTTCAACATGTTAACTGTTTCTCTCTCTACAGATGCTGAGAGACTTGCCAAGTTTCTCCAGCATTTTGTTTGTTTCAGACTTCTAGGCAACTGTTGTATCTTGCTTTTGTTTGGCAAGTAAAATGGATTGAAATCTGAGCCTTTGAGTATGACACAATGTCACCTTCGCTCCATCACCCAAGATGTTTCAAGATTGATTTTTTGTACTGACTGTCTCAGAGTATGAATGAACACAATAACCAACTGAATTCACCACTGTAACCACCCTCATAACTAATGTTAACAGAAAATGTACAAATGTTTGGAGGGCAACCATGTAATAAAAAATCTAGTTTAGATAACATAGATAAAATTAAAACTGTCATCTCTTAGCACCCGACATTTTACTCAAGAAGTACCAAGTTGTTTGGATAGTCCCTTAAGTAAGGCAGTGAAGACAAAAACAAGAGCTGGAATATTTCATTGAACTGGTCAACTAATGCTCTTGAATTGTCTAAATGTTTTAACCAGGGGTTCTCAATTTATCGCAGTTATGAGTGACTTTGTTCCTGCATAGGTAGCAAAACCCAGTTACGGGACATTGGCTGAATTGAATGGATATGGTACTCAGACATGTGTGTAAAATCTCACATCAGGGGCTTGGATAGATTTGTTGAGGCTCACATTCTTGCATATTTTTGAGACACTCCTTAGGCTGCAAGTTGGCAACATGTGTTCTATCTCCATCATATCCTACTTGCCCAATACCATGCAATCCTTGTCCTAAGTTTGCTACCAGTCACCTAAATTTCAAATTTAAAATTTGCATCACTATCTCTGCAACATTTTCCATCTCTACACTCACCAAGTAGCTTGTGTTTCTCCACCTCTGGTTTCCTTCACCCCCAATCTAGACGTTCAGGAAGAACAGATATGTGGATGGGGAAATGGGTACAGAGCACAAAATGATTTAAGCATGAAGACTAGAATCATGACTAAAGAGCTGGAGACCAGAAGCATGAGTAAATCAATGGAGGCAGGGATAATGGATAAGGAGGACATAGTGTGGGTTAAAATTCAGGCAGTAGAATTTTAGATGAACTGGAATACAGTTTGAACATAATTGTTTTATAAGAATAACTGTGAAATTTGTCAGCTGGTTTCCAATTCCACATTAAACACCACTCCTTGCTCACCCCCAGCATTAACCTTTATTGTTTTGACAATATTTTTATATTATATTTTTTGACAAAGCTAAATGGCCCTTCTTGCCTGCAGTAAAGCGAACAGTGCAGGGTAAAATGAATCACCAAATCAGAGCACAGGGTGAAAATGAGACGTGCAGAGAGATGATACAACTAAGGCTCACTTAATGAAAAAAGTAAAATGAAGGAACACAAACTAACATAGACATTAAGGGCTTGAAAACTTTGAGCTGTGATGCTGAAATAAGTAACCAAGAGACAGTGGAGGGTTCAGGGATCCACCTTGCTCATGCATCTGTCTCACTCTAACCTCCTGAGAATGCAAACGTCTCATCCCAAGATCTGCTTCATATATTCAGATTTGGTGGACCCAGCCTCACTGGCCCTGAGAAGTACTGCTCTGCACAGATGGCCAACTGTTTAAAACAAATAGTCTTCCGTGACCCTGGGAGACAGGCAAAATGTATTTTTATCCAACAAATATTCATCTGAAAGGAAATGCTTTTTTAATTCAGATTAATTTTTTAAATTACTGATGCAGTTTAAAAGATCAGAAAACACAAGATTTACAGTATTATAAAAAATTACAAGACATGAACAATGCACTGTACACATTTAGCTATTTCTGATGCCCACTCATGGATCCCATTAAGCCACAAGCCCCTACTGAGAACATTCAGATACAAAAGTCTTGCATCATTAGCCAAAATAAAGAATCAGTTAGTAGTGATTAAGTAATAGCGTTTTGAATGCATAAATCCAAATTGTGCTGCCTGAAGGTGCTCTGTTCCTCCAGAAGTTACACTAAGAAATTTGGCAAATGGCAGGGTGAGAAGTAGGCATACTTACAGGAGATATCAACTAGCTCAGAAAATTTAGGGCTTGTCCATTAAAACAACAGTAGTCAATACAACTCATCAAGCCTGCTCAACCATTCAATAAGGTCATGGACAGACTTTTATATTAACTCCACTACCACACCCCTTCCTCAAATCCTAGATTTCCTTCATGCTCAAAATCTACTGATTTCCGTCATGAAAATACTTGATACTCGAGCTTGCAAATCCCATTGGAACTGAGAATTCCTTCAAGATTCACAATCCTCTGAGTGAAGAAATATATTGTTCAGTCCTAAATGGTTGACTCCTGAGACTATGATCCATAGTTCCATAATCTCTAGACAGGGGAAACAGTCTTTCAAGTTTAACATCCTGATAAGCTTTCAAAAGACTAACAAATGAAAGTTAAGTGAATGGACTATTCACTGTCAGGGACCTGCAATCTCTTGACCACAAAACAATGATATTTTTTTCTCCTTTTACATGTGTACCAAAAGCTAATATATTGTATAAAACTTTACCTTTGATAGATCCTCCAAGCGTCTTCTTTCATCCACATCCACCTGTACAGTGAGAAACTTAGCATCCTTTAGCTGTGTGTTGCTTGAAATAATTTTATTTGAGTAAATGGATTTCTTTACGCTGTATCGTTCTTCTCCTGTATAGATCTGACGCAGTTGTGTTTCACTTATTACCTATGGAAAATTAACATGTTGCTGTAGTACAGACTGATCCATTTTCACCTTGAAGAGTTACACTCTTTTACAGAAATGTTTTGTTTTAAACAAAGTTACACAAATTTTGCTGAGAGTAAATTTGCACCAGTATCCTCTCGTTAAGCTTTGAAGTATATTTTAACAAAGCAGGCATAAAACCCATGAAAGGCTTACTGAAATTGTGCGATAAGAATTGACGCAAATCAAGGGAATATAATCAATATTCCTAAACATCTTACAATATCCCTACAGTAACCTACTTAATTACTGTAATTTGTTAGGGTCAAAAACTAAGTAGACATTTCTCAAAATCAATCTGCTGCCAAAACTAAAAGCCACGTCCTCATGTCCAATTTACTCCTTGTGAATATAGATAATCTATCACAGTGCGATCACTCAATATATCAGATCACTGGAATTCTAATCTTCAATGGATCACAGCAGAAGTCGTTTCTACTTGTGGAAAAGACCAAAACTGGAGGGTCATAAATACACAATAGTCGATAATAAATCCAACAGGATTTTACGAAGCAACAATGTTTACCTAGAGAATTGAGAGGATATGGAACTCACTGTTGCAAGGATTTGTTGAGTTAAATTGTACAGACACATTTAAAGGGGAAGCAGATAAACACAACAGAAGAAAATACATGCACTTATGTAGCATCTTCCGCAACGAATGGATGTCTCAAAACACTTTACAATCAATGAACTACTTTTGAAGTGAAGTCAACGTTGTAAACAAAGCAGTCAATTTAAACAGAGCAAGCAGCCAATGGCAGCAACATGATATTAAGCAAACAATTTACTTTTCGTGATGCCAATTGAGGGATAAATATCAGTCAGGACACTATGGAGAACTTCACTGCTCCTCTCCGTTATAGAGCCAGTTATCCATCTGAGACAGCAGTTTTACATCTCATAGGAGGACTTGCGAAAACATCTTGCTTACATTTTAATAGTAAATGCTAAAATAGATGCAGACAAATCTTGGAGAGACTAAAAGGTCTTGTATCAGATTGAACTCTTAACCCAGACAGCATTTATCGTTATGAACATACACTTAGCATTGTCTGTGAGGACTCCACTATTATCGTTTACACTTTCTCTAGACCCATCAGTTGTTTCTTTACTTATTGCATTGCCATTTCCTTGATTTGCATTATCATCCCATTTGTCATTTATTCTCTACTACCTTCCAACCCAATAGCTCTTCCCGTCTTTCCCTCTTCCTGGCTTTCATTGTCTGTTCTTGTGTCAAAAGCTGTTAGGTCTCTAACTTTGCTCAGTTTTAATGAAACAAAAAGGAGTTGGAGCACTAACTCCACAGAGACTGCCAGATGTCCTGAATATTTCCAGTATGTTATTTTTATTTCATATTTCTAGCATTTGTAGATTTAGCTTTTGAATTCATGTCACGATAATTAAAGAAATGGGAGCCCAGGTAATTAAGGCCCCCTAAACATTTAATAGCTCACTTGCAGTCTGCTGTGTTTGGAGGTAACTGAATGTGTGTTGATATTCAAGAAGGGGAGCTATTCTGAACTGGGCAATTATAGGCCAATTAAACCACACAAGCTCATTGAAAGCAGGGCAGGGGCAGGGATTCTATGCAATGATGAGGTCAGGGACAGAGGGCGAGGACTAAAATCCTTGCCGGTGACTGGTGAGGTTGGGAGCCCTGGGCAACGAGTTATCTGGGCATGCAAGCCACCGAATAGGACAAATGGAAATCGACATCAGACTAAAACTGACGACGATAAACAATTAAGCTCATACTACTTTATTAATTTAGTTTAAAAAGTTTCATTTTAACCCCAACCCTAACTTTTAACTCAGTTAATAAAGTAGTGTTAGTCTAATTGTTTACAGTCATCAATTTCACTTTAATGTCACTTTCCAGACTTCCTGTTCTGTGGCTTGCATGTCAAATAACTCCTTGCCCAGGGCTCCCAACCTCACCAGTCATTTGTCCCTCATACTCTGTCCGTGTCCTCACTATCTCATAGAAACCATGCCCCTGCTCATGTGCCTCACTCTTCTGCCCTCGATCACTGCCTCCCAGGCCTTGCTCATCAAGCCTCAAATCTACCTTAGGACCTTGCTCTTCAGGTCTCTCAATTTAAAACACCTCATAATAGAAGAAAAATACTTCTGATGCTGTAAATCTGAAATAAACACAGGATGTGCTGGAGAAACTGAGCAAGTGTGGTAATATTTGTACAGTGAGAAAAAGAGAGTGAAGTACAGTTAACACTGAGTCAAACAGGGCTCTTCTTCAGAACACATACCTTTTCAATCATCATTTTGGTTCTTGCAGTCCCTATTGGAACGTCATAAACCTTGTACTGCTCACATAGATAACTCATTACAGGTTCTGGTGCATCTATCAGCTCTCTCAAGTAGGAGACAAATCCATACATTCTATTTTTTAAAAAATGACAGTTAAAGTTAAATAGAATGCAATAAGCTAATAAGTTCAAAAGGTTTCTGAAAGAATAAGCAAATTTGATTGTTCAAAGTGCACAGACGCCTAGGTTACAAAAGGCTAAAGAGATTTAATCAACAAGTAGTTGCAATTGATACCCTGTTAACTGTCCAGATGAATACAATTGTAAATATGATACTTTTATACCAAGCTGTACTTGTTACCATTAGATCAAGCATTATAAAACAAATGAATGAAAGCAAAATAAAACAAAGTAAATTAGATCCAGTCAAATATAAAATTATACCAATTTATTGTAAAAGTAGAGTGAAATGCTCCAAGACACATGTAAATTCAGGAATATAAATAACATTCATTCAATCGTTAAATTGCAAGATTACATGTAAAGACTAATTGGATCTGTTAAAATATTAAATGGGATAAATATAGGGATATAGTTGTTTTGATTATAATAGCAAGATGTTTATGTAAATTGTTATTAGGGCTGCAGATCTGCAAATCAATTAAACCGAAATATATATATTGACAGATGAGCAGTCAATTATTCAGGGCTTGAGACATAAGCGATAAGCACAAGCCTGTTCTAAAGTTAGTCAAGTATGACAAGCTAAAAACAGAATGCAGATGTTATTTAGACACTGATAGCTCTATTTAATTGAGGCCTTATTTCCATCACATGTTGAGGACAACATTGTTAACTTATAAAATCAGTAATACAGTTTTAACCTTATATTTAGTTTAGTTATTATTTCATAACTTAAATCATGTCAAATTTATTTCAAAATTTAATCATTAAAATTTAAACTACTTACTGAAGTTCTTGAATGGGCCTCGTGGGTGGCCTCCCTGCAGCTGAGATGGAAGGTGCACACACTGCATTTACTTTTAGCCTCTGTTTATCACGAACCTGAAAGTGTAAGATTTCTATCAACCAACCTATTAGGCAATACTGTATAAGATTATGAACCCTCACATTTTCTCAACTCCTGCCTCTTTCACAATCTTCATGTTTGTTAATCCTCTTTTTACCATACACACACGCACACACCACTTAATAGGTGAATCCTGGACGTCTGTTCCAAATCCAACCCTAACTTAGCTAGCACTGAGGTCAGCACATCCTCTCACTGAAGATCAGCAAGCTTTAGTAATAACAGTAGTAACACAAAATTGCACGTTAGAGTCTGTGAAATAAGTATCTGAGCGGACTTTTAAAAACAAAAATCATTCACGGGATGCGGCTGTCACTGGGTACCCCATCATTTATTGCTCATTCCTAAGTGCCTTGAAAGTCAGAAATAGGTACACCAACAACCTTTCAGACTTGGAACAAAGATGTTTTTCCTTTACGGCTGCTTGATTGAAGTCCTGGAACCTCCTACTTAACAGCACTGCGCTGCTTGCCTTTCCTACAGAACAGCAGTAAGCCAGGTGGATTGTTAAAACAACTGACAATAGTTTTAAGGTTATTTTTAGGACTTAATTTCAGATTTATTAATTGATTTAAATTCCACCAGCTGCTGTACTTAAACTCGTATCGCCAGGGTTACTAGTCCAATGACATTACCACTACACCGCTATTTCCCTCTGACTAGTGCAACAATTAAGACATTATATATAGTGTAATTGCTACATCATTAGAAAGGAAGTCTCTCAATTTCACTCGTGTCAATTCACAGTTGGATGACTGTACATATTTTGGGTGAAATTTGACCTTGTATGATTGCGTTTAATGGCAGCCCAGATTACATATTTCCGAACGTTCAATTCCATTGAATTCAGGGCAGAGATCAGGAGAGCACTGGCCATGAATTCAGTAGAAAATCAATAAAAGAATTGTGGTATAGGTTTCTCAATAACCGAGGACAGAAAGGATGGCAGGAGGAGAAGCTAGATGGAGGCAGCAGACAGGGAACACAGCAGAAGAATAGTGACAAACATAGATTTAAATAACTTTAGCTGTAAGAGATATTCTAACAATCCCTTTCTCAGGTTTTCTTGCAAAAGATCAAATGAAATGCAAAGCCTTGTGGAAGTCTGTGCTTATACTGACCTCAGAAAGGAATGCACCCATATCATCCATGTTCACACAAACAAAGGCCCTCATATCGTTCATTGGAATATGATTTTCAATGTATTTGGCATTTCTCGAATCCTTCATATTAAGCTGTAAGAAGATTAAAAGCAAGGTAAAAACTGATAAAATGTTGTTGAAAAATAGGCTGCTAAAAGAGGGCACAACCATAACCTGAAAATTCAATCAATTTCTCGATTTGAAACTAACAGCATTGAAATTTGCATTGCACGGCATTATACTTCCAAAATAGTAGATCATTATCTTTCATTCAGAATGGCTAAAAATCATAAGGATTCAAGACTAGTAAAATCCAGAACACAAGCAAGGATGGAAAGAATGAAAGAAGATAATTTGGGTGTTAGAAAATTTTAGTTTCAAAAAGTCTTGAAGATTGTGGGAAGGACACTTTGAAGTAGAATTTATGATTTTTATTATGTATTTTTTAAACATTCATGAGGTGCACATGTTGCTTACTAGGTTAGCATTTACTGCCAACTCTGTCCTTGAGAAGTTGGTGGTAGTAGCACTAAATTAGAGTAGGAGACTGTGCAATAGATACATTACAATGCAGACAGGGTGCAAGAAGAAAAAGTAATGTAGAGAGGGTCATGAAGGTTAGTAGAATAAGTAAAAGCTGCAATCATAATCACAAAATTACTTAGAACTACAGTGCAAGATACAAGCCATTCTTTTCAACTAGTCATGTTAATCTTTATGTGCCATTGAATCTCCTCACTTTCCCACTGAATAGTCAATAACCAAAGGGCTCAGACTTATGGTGATTTGCAAAAAAAAAACCATAGGCAACTTGAGCAATTTTTTTGGCAGTGACGGGCGAGGATTTGGAATGTAATGCCTCCAGAATGGCAGCTTCAATGGTATCCTTAAACAGGACTCAGCACATCGGCTACTGCAGTATGCTACTAAATAGATTCTGTTTGCCGTAAAGTGGACAGTTTGCTCTACATCTGACTGTTATTTCATGTCCTGCTGTTTCACTGGAAACTCTGAACAACAGCACAAAACAGTCCAAAAACAAACCAGCATTACAAGTACAAATCAAACACACACCACTTTCTCTAATTATAAATAACCTTACCAATAATTTACATACAGGTAATTAAAAAGAGAACTTTTACCTCAAGCATAATTGGTTCATAGATGTGCCCACGGAATCGATTTCTGTTCTGTCTTAACCACAAGACAGCATTGTACGTATCTCTGAAATAATTTCTAAGATTTTCTTCTTTAATGTGCATCATGTCTTCGAGTCTCTTGATATTAATCATAACCTCTGTGTTTAAAGTAATAGTATATTAGTCAATGGGTCACCATTTTTTTCACCGACAGTAGGTGCCACATAAAAACGCTGCCACGTAATGCCACTGGCTGAGTATAACAACACAAGTGCAAACATAGATACATGGAAATCAGGAGCAGAAGCAGGCCATTTGATCTTTTGACCTTGCTCTGCCATTCAATGTGATCTTGAATGATCATCCAACTCAGTACCTTGTTCCTGCTTTCTCCCCATACCTATGATCCCTTTAGCCTCAAGGCCTACACATCTAACTCCTTTTTGAAAACATTCAATGTTTTGGCTGTAGCTAACTGGTCAGTAATTTTGTTTTATGCCTCCCTATCCTCTTTTAATTAGTAGGGGTCACATTTACCACCTCCAATCTGTTGGAACTACTCCAAAATAGAGAGAATTTTGAAAGATGAAGACCAATGCATTCAATATTTCCAGTGTCACTGCCTTTACAACTCTTGGATGCAGGTCATCAGGATCTGTCAGTCTTTCACCCCATTAATTCACGCACCATTTTCTTACTAATAGTGATTTCCTTCAATTCACTCTCTCAGCAGACTCTTGGTTCCATAATGTTTCCGGAAGATTATCTGTGCTCTCTTGTCCAGGCAGAACCAAAGTACATGCTCATTTCTTTGTTCTCCATTATAGTTTCCCTAGCTTTTGGCTGTAGAGGATCTACAGCTGTATTTACTATTCTGTTTTTGTTCACATATTCATAGAAGCTTTTACAGTCAGTTTCTATGTCCCCTGCAATTTTACACTAATGCTCAAATTTATCCCCTTGATCAAATATTTCATCCTCTATTATCTATTAGTAGGAATTAATTTAAGTACTGTGAAATAATTTATTGACAAAAAGGCTTTGGAATTAAAATACTACAACGCATCATTTTCACTGTACTAATTCATATAACATGCATATTGCCATTTTTTTTGGTGCTGAGAACTGTAAAAAATGTAGAGTATTTGACCCATTTTATTTGTCATTTAGTAGAAGATACTTTCCATCTTTAACTTCTTGAATTAAATTCTGGCTAGTTACTATTAGAAAAACATGTAGTTTTCTGGGTCTATTTAAGAACTTCTGGTGAAAGTTTTCTATTGTGCTGGAACATAGCTATTGTGATACTAGTTACTTGTTTGATCCAAGACTGACAGATTTCAATACTTCCCAAAATAATAACAAAGAACTGTGGACACTGTAAAAATGACAAAATTCTGATGAAGGGTCACTGGACTCGAAACATTAATTCTACTTTTCTCTCTACAGATGCTGCCATACCTGCTAAGTTTCTCCAGCACTTTCAGTTTCTGTGTCAGTACTTTCCTTAACTGGCTTGCCCAATATCCAAACCATAGGTCTTTAAACACTGGAATTTACAATCTTTCTAGAACACACTTACTCTTTTTCTCTTTCTCCAGATTTTCCTTTTCTCTTCGTAGTTCTACTTTCTCACTGTCAACAGCTCCTTTATCCTGTTGAACTCTGCGGAGAGCACTACTGATTTGATCTATTTCTGGTTGCACATGGTCATAATTCCTGGTAGTGTTCAGTTCTTTCTGCAAATCTTCTATCATCTTTTTGGTGTTACTTATTCTTTTCTGGCGGTCAATTTCTTCATCTTTTTTCATTCTTAAACGTTGCTGAACTTCTTCAACCTTGAAGATAGAAGTCCTTTAGTTAAGTAAATCAAAATACAAAGGAAATGAAAGAACTGCAGTAGATCCTCTTTATCGTAAAGCTTACTTCACGATATCAACATTTGAACAGTTTAGAGGCTGTAGAAAAGTATCAGTGGTAGTCACAAAAAAAGGGCAACAGCATATTTTATGAGTACTTTAAAGTCAGCTTCCAGGAGAAAATATGTCATTGTACAGTACTTTCATTCCATAAAGATTACTAGGCTCAGAATGGAAAAAGAAACATTTAAAAGCACCATATCATGCAAGTGTCTAAGATCGCTGTTGATGATTATAGTTTGGCATCAGAGTAGTGAGCATATGCTAGATATTCATTATGTTTGAATGTCTTTTTTAAGCGAGGGTGCAATAGGCATGTAATAGTGGCATGGAGTAGATGGCAAATTTGAGTTGGTGTCATACGAGGAGACTGAGTAGTAACAGCATTACAATAGGCGTTTGGCCAATTTCCCAAACCCAGATTGGAATAATTTCTCTATCTACACTAACAACTCCTTTAACCATTTTAAACAGCTTAGTTAGATCAGTCCTTAATCTTCCGTACTTAAAGGAATATAATGCTAGGCTATGAAGCTTGTCTTTTAATATAGTGCACTACACATGAAGGTATTCAATAAGTAGAATTTTCAGACCAGCCGTGAAGGTGGTTGGTGTTAAAAGTTGCCAATGCCAAATTCTGCATGCAAATCATTCTTCTCAAATTATAATTACAAAATAAAGGGCATCGTATCATTGTGTCTAGTTGGTCTTAGTCCATGATACTGTTGATTTTCATCAAAAAAAATGCTGTTTCCCCACAAGTCCATTTCTCAGATTGTGAGCATGCTTGCAAGTGAAATTCTACCAACCTCTTTGTCCTTCCTTTCTAAATCATCTTGCTTCTGTTTGCATTCTTGAGTGATATTCTTAATTTCAGACCCCTACAAAATAAAACACAACTTCAATCATTCCACTGAGTTATGTTAATTAAACGCTATACATACTACAGATGTGTTACTCAAATTAGGGTGGACAGACATCACGGTCGAAATTACTGATTAGATTAAGACTATTAAAGGCTTTACTCTTGCATGCATAAGTAAGGAAATCACAGGGTGCTCATTCCAACAACTAGCTACACACTGTCTCTCATTATTGAAACCCTCCCCATATGAATCCTTTAACTTTGTTTATGCAAACGGCTCATCAAAAACATTAAATGCAATAGGGCAATCCAAACTTACAATAACGTGGTGTCACCCTGTCAAAACTATTGTTATTAAGTAGAATCTGCAGCACACACAGACATACAAGGAATCACAGAACGATGCAGTATATCATTATCTGAACTGATCCTCTTTCCTTGCATTGGCTTTTTGGCAGTGTTATCCAATTAATTCCACTCCCCTGTGATTTCCTCACAATCATGCATGTCATTCCCCTGTCAATATAACTTATCTCAAGCAACATTCAGAGCCTGAAATTTATCAGTCTCTGGGAAGTGAGGAGGAAGATGATGGTAAAAGCATGGGGAGCCCTCTTAAAGTGGGAAGCTGACTGCATCCTATTGTCAGGGAATTTGAGAGATGTAAAATCCTATTATGGGCCATTTTATGGTGTCATGAGCCAAACAACCACCACCCTTTGAAAAAAAGTTTCTCATCAGATCAACAGTTTAACAAAGGTGTTTAGTTTCACCATGATAAAATTTTGTAAATTATAAATATCATCTTTTAAAGCCCAGATGTGTGCAACACTTGTAACTGAGGAGTGCTGAAGTCTATGAAATGCTGCCATGGCTAAAATCAGGAATTCTTTCTTGCACCAACCAATCTTCTAACCTTTTCTTTTATTTTTGTTTCCTGCTCCCGACATTGCCTTTCAACAGTTTGAATTTTTCTGGTCATTGGAGCTTGGGCTTCTTTGAGTGCTTTCAGTTCTTGTTTAAGCTGGTCACGGACACGCTTCACTTCTTCATGCTCCTGTCGAGCAACTTCATATTCCTTTCAAAAAAAAAAGGCATGGTGTCAAACGTTTATTGAAGGAAATAGATGTGTTTTATTTTAAGTTTCGAAAAAGTGACAGAGTATCTTGAATCAATGTAGTTTTCTTCTTTATTTGAAAGATCAATGATCAAATATGAATTATAGAGTGAATACTTGCAAACTGTGCTATTGACGGATTTTCCATTGAAGTGATCGTTCCTGAATTCTGAAACACATTCCTGGTCCTTAGTCCAGGGTACAGACCAACATAAATTTAAGCAGCATTTTGGATTACTTCAGAGCCCCTCAGTTCTCTTGACCCCATTAAAAATAAAGATCTACTGGTGCCTTTTCAGTTGAACCAGCAGCTTATACTAAGGAAATCCACGTGTTTGACCTGTGATAAATCCTAAAATAGATTTGGGAGCCTATTCGTATCAAAGACATCCAAGTTAAATATCTAAGTTAATGCGCGATTGCAAGCAGTTGTTCAGAGTACCACAAAAACATGGAAAGACGCAAGCAGCTTAATTAAATCAAAAGCCCTCTACTCAGTGGGCAAGTGGTTTCAAAATGTCGCCCACAGATACAGAATCAACTTCCATCCTTGCAGCTAACAACTTAGTCTTTTCCTGTCCATTAAGCCTAGGTGCTTCAACCAGCCTGTCACACAATTACAATTACCCTCTCTATCACAACAGAGACCACAATAAAACCTGAAATGTAAAGAAAGGTTGAAAACTTTCTTTCTAACCACCTAGGCCATCAGAATGAATCCCAGAGATGAACTCATTCCAAATCCTGTCCGACACATCAGTAAACTGGAACACAAAACTGGTTTCATGAGCAGGAAAATGGCCAACGTTATTACACTCTGAATGAGTTTACATTCACTGCAAATCAACAGCTCTAACATTGTTCTATGAATCTCTGAAGTAAAATGCAATCTCACGTCATTACAAAGTCATAACTTACCACCCAAGGCCTCTTTCTTTCCAGCATCTTTATTTTGTCTAAATGTCTCTGTCGTTCATAATACCGCTGCACATCTTGCTCGTTCCGTTCATTCCTCTGCTTCATTTTCTCCAAAGCAGCTGACTTTTCTTTACATGTATTCTACAAACGCATGGAACAAATCTTTTCTCACATTAACAGAAAAATAGGAGCCAAACAATATTTACAATAACAAAGGTATTATTGCCCCATACCTCAAGCTCCTTCTCTTTTTCGCGGTAATTCTTTAAGTCACTGTGAAACTTGTACATTTCTGGTGGGCCAACTGATTTTTCAGTTGCTTCCAGTAGCTCGATTTTTGACATTTTTGCAAACTCCCCAACTTTCTCCTTTAAATATAAATCAAAACAATGGTAAACTGGGCCAACAAAAAACAAAACAAAATTGATAGTTACATGAAGACTAGACTGCACCATTCAGTAATTTTATACAAAAGGTACTGTTGCTCAGTGATGTCATTAACATTTCTGCAAAGGTAGGAACACCACGAATGAAAGCATATTAAGTATGAAGTCTGCAACAGGAACATTTTTATCTCTTGAAAAGTGGTGCTTAAAGGGATTCTTTTATCAGTCTTTGAAAGCTTCGACAAGTTGTAATCCTTTCTATCTAGCGAGGAGCAGCTCTGAAATATTATCTCTCAAACTGGGAGTAACAAGTGTAAAATTTGGCAAACCTTTTTTGAGTGCCCAATTTGCTCTTCCTTTTGAATTCAGGCTTAGATCTAGACTTTCCGGAGTTAAAAAATTAGTTCACAATTTTTTTTTGGGGGGAGGTGGTAATGAGCAGCAAGAAAATAAGATCATTCTATGGTCTGGCACTTGCGAAAAGTATTTCTGTCCCATATGTATTATCTACATCAACAAACTTACAGATCCGTAAACACAGGATAGCAATGTTCTCCAAGTCAAAATTGCAGAATCAATGACCGTTCAATACATGAGATCCCAGCAAAATTCCCAATACTGAAGCCTGATGTCAAACAGCCCGATTTTTACCCTCCACTAACTTCACCAAAGAGCTCTATATATCAAATGAGTAGAAATGGAGCACAAGAACAGCAAAGATGAAAAAACAACAAAAATTTTGCCTGAATACATTTCAGAAAACGTGCTTTGACATAGCTTTGAGGCATGTTGAAAAGTAACAAGGCAAACAGGTTTAGAAAAGGGGCTCCAAAGTGTAGGTCCAAGTCAGCTGAAAACCCTACCATAGGTAAGTTACAATGACAGGAAAGCAGAGTGTGCATCATGCCAGTACGGAAGTGTGAAAAGGTTGGGTTATAGAAAATTATACAGGTAAACAACTTCATTAATGTCTGGTAATTTATTACAATCCTCAGTATGGCTATTTTTCTCAAAACCCTGCAATTTGATGCATTCAAAAATTTTGAAATTCCGTTTTGATTAACTTGTTAACATCCTTCAAAGCCTGAGCATGCCCATTCAGAAAGTGCTGCTGCAAGATAACCACTAAGACCAATCGACACCCAGAAGATTATGCTAAAATTAGGACATGGTACTGCAAATGATTTTGCATGGGTTGATGGCTCGCAATTTGTTTCCCTTGCATTTCTTCTCTCCCTCTGATACGTGCTTGCTTCGGAAACAAGCTGCACCATTGTGGTTGAGTCAGGTGCAGCTGCCCTGAGAAGGCTTATCCCAAGATTTAGTCAACATCAAAATTCTTAAATTAACAAATCTTTGTTGAAAATTGTTCAAGCATTGATCCTTGAGGGAGCACATTTCCACCTTCTGTCACCATTAATAGCAAGCCTTTACCCGTAATTCATACTTTCGGTCTTTCACCGAATATTGCAAATCAGATCATGAGGAAGGTCACAATGGAAAAGAGCAACCTTACGAACCCTGTTCATTCATATCTTTGTTGAATTCTAAGTTTCAATACAGTTTACCAGTTTCTCCATACTTTAATCTTATCCTCTTGGGGAGAAAGTCCATAACTCTTTGTCCCACCATTTTCCTACTCCAGCACTGTCACATTTGGGCGTTGCACCTCCATCTACCTCCACACCAGAATATATTTTTAAAGCATTTGAGCAATGTATTAATAAGTACTTAAGAACTAGGAGCAGCACAGGCAAATTAGCTCCTCAAGCTTACTCCATTACCTAATACAATCACAGTTGATCTCAGCGTGGCCTCGACTCCATTTTCTTGCCCACTTTCCATAAGCCTTCAATCCATTACTAGTTAAAACTCTATCTCCTCCCTAAATTTACTCACTGTCCAGCATCGACTGCCCTCTGGAGTAGTGAATTCTGCAGATTCACGACCCTGAGAGAAGTAATGTCTCGTCATCTCTGTTTGAAATCTGACACAGTATATCCACAATTAAGATGAGCCCTGCTACAAACTAATACTTAGCACCATACCTGATCAATCAGACCCAGCTCAAAACCAAGCTCAAAACATCTATTAAAAAACAGATACGTGCATCATGCAAAGCAGTGCACAGCCAAACACAAGTTAATTCCCTTCCTTACAATCTCCACAGTTACATCTTCAGCTACTTTTCACCCACCCTCCTCCAGTTCCCTCTTTGAAACTGTTTAACCACTTGCTATGCTTCCAGACAATTTAAAAATTAATGAAGAAATAAATAAACACTGGAAGAGAGAGAGAGAGAAATGAACAGGAGTGAGATTGGAGACAGTGTGGGAAAAGACATCTAAAACAATCAGGAGACATTTTAAAAGAGATTTCTCAACTACATGCAAAAGCTGCAGTCGACAGAAAAAAGGTGCACCAGGAGCAACCAAAGGTGGCATTAATTCTAATCTAAGTATACTCAGAACTCAAGCCCATTTTCAAAACTTGTAAGAAACCAAACAACAATGCATAAGGAATCAGAAAGATCATACCATTTCCCCAAATCAAATAAGGAATCAACTAGCAATGGGGCATCTGACATTTTCAGAGAAAACATTAGTTAGTAATGGTGGCATGGAATATAAACTTTTAGATCAAATGCACATTTGAATCCTGGGGTTATGCCAAACATATCATGCATTGATTCAGAAGAATTATCTAAAGTGCCTGCTCGTGCTATTGTGTAGCACCATTCTGGAATACAAATCACCAGTCATTAAGTATTATAGTTCTTACGGTAGGTTTATACTAAATGCAATCAACTGGTGAGAGTGAGGGTTAAATAAGAAACATGAACAATATTCACCCAAATGCATACTACAGTAATTCTTACATTTTCCATTTATTTCTGGCATAAACACACCTGAGGTAAAAACTGGCAGAGATTCCCCACTTGGATATTCAAAGCAGAAGTCTGTTCTTCCACCATTTTCTGGGTTGCATGTTCTCCATTTATTTGCCAGACAGATTGATTGTTCACAACAGAAATCTCTCGTCTCACGATAAGGTTGCGTGGACGCCTGTAACTGTAAAAGGCCAATTTTTTTAATATCATAAAAATGTAATCATGCAAGAACTTCAGAAATTGAATGATAAAGTTTAGAAAATAATCAGAAAGCAACATTGCTTCAACTGCCTCATACAACAAAAATTACACACAAACAGCATATAGTCATTTAGCCCTTTGAATACTTTTGGCTATTCATTAAGATCGTGGTTGATGTGTATTTTAACTTTTTTTTTCTCTTCTTGGTTCTGTAATTTCACCTAATAAAAATCGATCAGCCTCAGGCTTGAAATTTACAAGCAACTCTCCATGGCCACAACATCTGCTTTGTTTTTTTATTTTTGGGGCGGGTGGGGGTGTTGGTGGTGACGGCGGCGGCAGGCACAGTGATGGGTTTGAGATTTTCACTACCTGTGAGAGGAGGAATATTTGCTAAATGACTTAGCTCTAATGTTATGGTTGCTCCCTCTGATTCTGAATGTTTACCAGCAGAGGAAATTGTTTTCTCTCCATTTACCCTATAAACCTCTTTACTCATAGTAAATATCTCATTTATATCACCTTCAAATCTTCTATATGCCAAGGAATCCAAGTTTAGTCCATGCAACCTAATCCACTTCTTTTTATAAATTATATGGTGCAACAACTTCAAACTGGAAGTTGCTATTTAAGACTTCCCAATAACAACTTCCAGGTCAATCCCCGGTCAGTGCAATGTACACTGATCTGGCTAAGTTCCATGTAACATTTTTGAATACTTCTTTGAAGAATTCTTCAATTCTTCTTTGCATTCAATGCAGAAAGCAGTTTCTATGAACAGACTTAAATCTACAAGTGAAATTTTAACTTTCCATGCCATGGAGGTAAAAGGTTTTTAATCCAATTTAACCACAATTGTCAGGATCAAGAGATCCATCCTCCTCCCTCAACACACTCCTGTCCACTCCAGATGGTGGAATACAACATAGCAAGATCACATTATTCAGGTCACAGAGATAACAATATAATAAATAACCAAATGTACAATATTTAGACTTGCCAGCAACAAAATAATAGCATTCTGAATCCTTGTGCTTTTCAAAGTATTCAACTGTTTCAGTAATACAATATGGTTGCATATTTGCTACTCACACTGCCAATATGTGGAATTAGACAGATGAACAAAACTGAGGAAAAGGAAAAGCATTCAAAGGTATGCTGAAACATCAGCACAAAGCAACAGAGTGTTTCCTGACATCTGTGTCAGCCAATGCATTAGCCAAGATTTACAGGCAAGGTTGGGTCGGCAACTTAACTGTACCATATAATTTATTTTACAGCAAACATTCTATTTAAAGAGATCTTTTTAAAAGGGCCTCTACTACCAAAACTACAGAATTTCTCCAGCCAAATGCCATAAATGGAGGATTTTTACAAAGAAGTGCAATCTTCAGGTGCAATTGTCAGGGAAACTGAATAATTGTCTCCATTCTGGACAATAATAGCACTATTATTTGCAGCCCAAAAAAATTCCCTCGTTATCCCTTATAACAGGAAATGCCCTTCAAATAGATGGTATTTCGAGTATTGGAGATTTCATTAACATTTCTTATCTGACGTGTAAATCAAATAACTTTTTGTTTTCACATCTACAGCTGATTGACAGCACTCTACTGTTTGACCAGCATCTGAAAATTTACATGTTAAACACTGCCATCTCATTAAGCAATTTCTACTGTTTTTGATTCTAAGTACAAGCAAGCAACAATGTGAATAAATTGGTGGGCTGAATGACCTCTTCTGGAGCCACGAATGCTTCGATTGTAAATGTCTTCACAAAATTTTGTTTCTCGCAAAGACTGAATTGCTACAACTTATTTCAGCACTGCAGAGAGATTAAAATTTGGTCACAGCTTCCACTTAACATTCTACAACAAGCCTATAGAAAAACGTTCTTATTTACTGGCTTAGTGGCAAGGGCTGATGAAATACAAAATTGATGAGAACTTGAGAAGTAGGGTTGGTCTGAACATTGGAGTTCCATGCAGTACTAAATAAGGAATCAGGAAAGACCAAACCAAGATATTTTTAGAATCATAGAATCCCTACAGTGTGGAAACAGGCCATTCAGCCCAACAAGTCCATACCAACCCTCTGAACAGCATCACACCTGACCCATCTCCCTACCCTTTCCCTGTAACCCTGCATTTCCCGTGGCTAACATGAATATGGCTAATATTGTAGTGCCACTTTACAGACAAATTTACATGTCTAGTTTCCATTAGAATATACTTACATTTCAAGTTCAATATGTCCTTTGCTATATCCTCGTTTCACATAAAGACCAACCTGCTCAACAAACAGATGTATAATTTTAGTACAGCCATTAGAGAAATGCGAAAATGGACTGAAAAAACTTAAGGAATAATTTATTGGGTTTAGTTTACTCATTGTCAATCTGAATGAAAAGAACACAATGTCAAAGTGCGAAACAGCTCAAGTTACATCTTCCAAACAGGGAGACAGTGGGTCAAAGATCTAATCATCCTAATTATGTTAGATTTGCAATGCACAAAATAATTTCCATTCTCTCAAAAATTAGTCAGAGACTAAAGACTAACCCTTTAATGCATCATATTGATCATCATTACTTTTGTAAGGTAATATAGGATAACCATCATGATTAGTCTGCAAAGTCACAATAACACATTTTACTTGTCTCTTCACAATCCAACACTTTTTAGGCTGCCAAGCAAAGCAGAAGTCAAAATGTGACACTTGCATAAACTACACCTGGAACTAATCATCATTTAAGATAGTGAAATTTGGAATAGTGAATACAATATTGTAACAGGAAAATAAGGAGGGAAAGAAATAATGAATTAAGAAATAAATAAACTGGGAGGAAAAAGTGAAAAATAAATTATTCTCTTTCTATATCTTCAGTGGTTAAAATTTGATGGAATGCACCTCTATGTTTGTTGGAATTTACCGTGCCAAAGTGATTTTTAATTATTGTGAAACACTTATCACATCATTAATAGGTACGTACACAAAAATGGACAATGGTACATTTAGTGGTTATATATGAAGCAACTACAGAAAATTCATACTATTCAATACATCTGAATGACAAGTCTCTTGACAAACGTCACGATGATAGATCATGAACCCCAATTATCTATGGATGCAAGGCACAGTGGTAGTGCCCAAATCTCTGAGCCAGAAGACCTGGGTTCAAATCCCACCTGCCCCAAAGGTATGTAATAACATCTCTGCAAAAGGTCTATATGAAAATATCTGTAATAAACTTAATTACAACATGCAACACTTAATAAAAGGAACACAGTGAAAAAATGATTGAAATTATAAATTCTGAGCAAACAATGCATTGTCTGGACTGTCTGGAATGCCAGTGTAGCATAACCCAGCCTCAAGGGAAACCGCGTAATGTTATATCTGACAAATGTCAAGGAAGCTTCAAACAGAAGGGCTTCAAAGGAATAAATGCAATGTAAACTGAACTGCAAGACTGTGAACACGAATGAAGTATAAAAAGCAAGACAGACATGTTTGTATTTTCCCCTTGCAAGAACAGTGAGCGGTATGTGTGCTAGCAGACTGTGCTATGAGAGTCACAGCCAAGTAAACCCCTAGTCATCCCTATGTTGCAGGTAAATAGAAAGTATCTCTCTCTCTCTCCATGCTGGAAGCCAGAAAACAAATGAAACTGCCTTCAAAAAGAAACAAGTCACTAGCCTTTCAGCTGATCTGCAAAACTAAACAATCAATTGCTTGTCTACTGTCATCACACAATACATAGACACAACGATTCAGTGCTTCCTTTTTATGGAACTCAGACCAATCCATATACATTTTTAAAAATTTTTATTTTCTTTGACTTACTCTCATTTCTAATAGATGTTGAAATATTATTTCTTATCATGCTTAGGAACTAATAAATTCATTTTTTCATTAACTCAAGAAAGGCTGGTTAAGTTAGCTTCACTTGAAATGTAAATTCATTTGGCCTGACAGTAAGGCATCCAGAAGGAAAGGAATCAAGTGGGCAGGTGAACAAAGAAGGGAACCAGTATATCCTTTCTCACCTGGGAACTTGACAATTTGGGGTATCTTTTCTATACCTGCAAGAAATTGGGGAACTTTGCCCAGGGACTGATTGGAACACAAGATACCACTACAGTTAAGGTTTTGGAAGAGTACAGCATCTGGGATAACAACATTCTGACTAACGCATTTAGATATCTATGCGTAAACAGTGGACATTGCTGACTAAATTGCAGGTGAATGACAGTGAGTGCAGTTGGTGTCACCACTACATCTATTTCAAAATTCTGTAATATTGCAAATCTGCACAACCAGGAATCTCTTATGCAAATCATGAGAGAGAACTCTCCCATGCTCTTTAAGATAGTGCCCACCTGGGACAGCAGATAGGGGCTTGGAATAATGTCTCATCCAAAAGAAGGCACCTCATTCAGTGCTATACTGGAGTGTCCATTTGGATTATGTACTTCTATCTCAGGAATGAATTTTGAACTCATCATCCACCATGTCCTTACTGACAACCCAGCAATTGCTGAGAAAGCATATACTTCAGAAGAAATATGCCACAAGGAATCCTCTCATAACTTAGTTCTCCAATTTACGAAACTTGCTGTAAAATCAAGCCAGACTTATTACATAAAACATCATTACCTTGTCTCCTCTGCCAATAAAGGAGGTTTTTCCTGCCAATCCCAGACAAATTGCACAGACAATGCTGGACTTTCCAGTGCCATTGGCACCCACTATCATGTTCAAATTGGCCCCAGGATGAATTTCACAGGAATCATAGGTTCTGAAAATCAACATATCAACATTTGCTGTGTTTATTTCAGATTTCCACAATCTGCAGTATTTTACATTTAATTCAGTGAAATTTATTATAGTGACTTTAATAATTCTGACAGCATTCATCTCTAGTTACTACACCAGGTGAGGATGCAGCACTCTTCATTTGCTTTTGCAACTGGTAAAGGATCCAATGAGGCTAACTGAAAAATAGTGAAGGTGAGAAAATTCTAGCAGTTTAAAAGATGTGCAGGAACAATCTCATAATCTCTACCTCAAAATACTCCTCTATTGTCGGAAAGCACAACAAAATAGTAAGTGTTTATTTCACAGAAATCCCTCTTCTATTCTAATGTCTTCACAAAGGTGTCCTTCCACATAGTTCAGTTAATCCAGTCAACATATCTAGGATACTGCTCTCTCTCATTTGTGCTTATCTAGCATTCCCTTAAATGCATACATGCTGCTCACCTCAACTATACCATTGTGTTAGTCAATTCTACATTCCCATCAATCTTTGGGTAAACGAGTCTGTCACGAATTCCCTATCAAATTTATTAGTGATCCTCATACTCAAGGTTCCTAGTTTTCACCTCCACCATAAGTTATCTTAGGACTATATTCACTGGAATTTAAAAGAATGAAGAGTGATCTCACAGAAACCTAGAAAATTCTAAAAGGACTGGACAGGATAACACAGAGAAGGATGTTTCTGATGACTGAGGAGCTCAGAACCTGAAGTCATAGTCTAAGAATACAGGGTATACCGTTTATGGCTGAGATGAGGAGAAATTTCTTCACCCAGAGAGTCGTGAGCCTCTGGAATTCTTTGCACAGAAGCTGGATGAGGCCAAAACACAATGTTTTCAAGAGGAGTTAGATATGGCTCTTAGGGTTAAGGGATCAAAGAGTGTGGGCACAAAGCAGGAACATGACTGGATGATCAGCCTTGATCATACTGAATGGCACTGCATGCTCAAAGGGCTGAATGGCCTACTCCTGCTCATTTTTCTGCTTTCTACGAGGAGATATCTTCTCCACATCTATGATGTCAAACATTTTTAAACGTCGAACGATTCTGTCTGATCACCCCATGTGCCTTCAATTCAGCTCTATATTGGCCTGAAAGCTTCAGGACTAGACTATTAACCTGTCCACAAATATGGCACAATGTCCAAAATAAACTTGTACGAATTGTTAACATTTTTTGGCACTTGTAGATATGACTAACATGAGCTTAATTACCTATCTGGGCAATT